ATAGATATAGATATAGATATAGATATAGATATAGATATAGATATAGATATAGATATAGATATAGATATAGATATAGATATAGATATAGATATAGATATAGATATAGATATAGATATAGATATAGATATAGATATAGATATAGATATAGATATAGATATAGATATAGATATAGATATAGATATAGATATAGATATAGATATAGATATAGATATAGATATAGATATAGATATAGATATAGATATAGAATTAGATAGAGATAGAGATATAGATATAGATATAGATATAGATATAGATATAGATATAGATATAGATATAGATATAGATATAGATATAGATATAGATATAGATATAGATATAGATATAGATATAGATATAGATATAGATATAGATATAGATATAGATATAGATATAGATATAGATAGAGATAGAGATAGAGATAGAGATAGAGATAGAGATAGAGATAGAGATAGATATAGATATAGATATAGATATAGATATAGATATAGATATAGATATAGATATAGATATAGATATAGATATAGATATAGATATAGATATAGATATAGATATAGATATAGATATAGATATAGATATAGATATAGATATAGATATAGATATAGATATAGATATAGATATAGATATAGATATAGATATAGATATAGATATAGATATAGATATAGATATAGATATAGATATAGATATAGATATAGATATAGATATAGATATAGATATAGATATAGATATAGATATAGATATAGATATAGATATAGATATAGATATAGATATAGATATAGATATAGATATAGATATAGATATAGATATAGATATAGATATAGATATAGATATAGATATAGATATAGATATAGATATAGATATAGATATAGATATAGATATAGATATAGATATAGATATAGATATAGATATAGATATAGATATAGATATAGATATAGATATAGATATAGATATAGATATAGATATAGATATAGATATAGATATAGATATAGATATAGATATAGATATAGATATAGATATAGATATAGATATAGATATAGATATAGATATAGATATAGATATAGATATAGATATAGATATAGATATAGATATAGATATAGATATAGATATAGATATAGATATAGATATAGATATAGATATAGATATAGATATAGATATAGATATAGATATAGATATAGATATAGATATAGATATAGATATAGATATAGATATAGATATAGATATAGATATAGATATAGATATAGATATAGATATAGATATAGATATAGATATAGATATAGATATAGATATAGATATAGATATAGATATAGATATAGATATAGATATAGATATAGATATAGATATAGATATAGATATAGATATAGATATAGATATAGATAGATATAGATATAGATATAGATATAGATATAGATATAGATATAGATATAGATATAGATATAGATATAGATATAGATATAGATATAGATATAGATATAGATATAGATATAGATATAGATATAGATATAGATATAGATATAGATATAGATATAGATATAGATATAGATATAGATATAGATATAGATATAGATATAGATATAGATATAGATATAGATATAGATATAGATATAGATATAGATATAGATATAGATATAGATATAGATATAGATATAGATATAGATATAGATATAGATATAGATATAGATATAGATATAGATATAGATATAGATATAGATATAGATATAGATATAGATATAGATATAGATATAGATATAGATATAGATATAGATATAGATATAGATATAGATATAGATATAGATATAGATATAGATATAGATATAGATATAGATATAGATATAGATATAGATATAGATATAGATATAGATATAGATATAGATATAGATATAGATATAGATATAGATATAGATATAGATATAGATAGAGATAGAGATAGAGATAGAGATAGAGATAGAGATAGAGATAGAGATAGAGATAGAGATAGAGATAGAGATAGAGATAGAGATAGAGATAGAGATAGAGATAGAGATAGAGATAGAGATAGAGATAGAGATAGAGATAGAGATAGAGATAGAGATAGAGATAGAGATAGAGATAGAGATAGAGATAGAGATAGAGATAGAGATAGAGATAGAGATAGAGATAGAGATAGAGATAGAGATAGAGATAGAGATAGAGATAGAGATAGAGATAGAGATAGAGATAGAGATAGAGATAGAGATAGAGATAGAGATAGAGATAGAGATAGAGATAGAGATAAAGATAGAGATAGAGATGCAGATGCAGATGCAGATGCAGATGCAGATGCAGATGCAGATGCAGATGCAGATGCAGATGTAGATGCAGATGCAGATGCAGATACAGATACAGATACAGATACAGATACAGATACAGATACAGATACAGATACAGATACAGATACAGATACAGATACAGATACAGATACAGATACAGATACAGATACAGATAAAGATACAGATACAGATGTAGATGTAGATATAGATATATATATATATATATATATATATATATATATATATATATATATATATATATATATATATATATATATATATATATATAATTTTATATTTACGTTTATGTTCATATTGTGTTGTTCTTCTTTTTGTTAGTAATATTCAAGTATGGTATTTGCTATTTACCAAGTCATATCGATTATAATTTTAAGACCAATAAAGTACCAAACGTATTTTAAAATACGAACTTCCAGTCTACCTACCCTGGTACTGAACGAGTAAACGAAAATTTTATTCCACATCAGCTGCAACGAAAAAATGCCTTCAGACCTGTCATTTTCAGGGACACCGGCAAGATCAGAATCACAGAAAACAGTAACTTCTGAACCTAGCTTTACCTCTTTTGGTACTATAGATTTATGTAGTACTGAAATAAAATCACTTAAAGCTTTAATTGAGCATTTAATAATGATTTTCTTTTCTCGAAATAGCCGGCAAAAGTAAGAATAAAACAAAAATAAAACATTATTGAATTTAAGCGGTGAATTGAAATGAGATGTGCACCCTTTTGCTGTTGCATATATATAAGCAGGAATCCCGTCCTGCGCGTCATTGCGGTCTCATAATTCGAAACATTCGAGGAAACAAGTTATGATAATATTCATTCTTTTTTATTTGAAAGACATAACTGATTTATAAATGAAAATATGATTCATTCATTGAGGCTACTTTTGTATTTATATACTTTTATGATTATTAATCGTGTATTTTGGTACTAGTGATCTCATTTTCTGATTAGATCATTTAAATCGAAAAGAAGACTGCGTCATTCTCAGAGTGACGAAACTATGCAGGATTGTTTCTTAACACGTTAAAATATATTATTAGATGTTTTATAAACGCCATAGTCACTGATCCAACAGTTACCTTAATAGCCTTAATTGCTAAAGTATTAGTATTTTGATATGCTCGATCTCAATATCCGATTGGATTATCATTAGATTCAGATTACGTCATTTGCAAGATGACGCAACTGTAAAGGAGGGTTTTTAAATTTTTAAATGGTGATTTTTTTAAATCTAAAAGAGCGTTATTCATTGTAAACTATGTTGGTGATATATATTTAGATTTGAGTAGCCCTTTGATTTTTTTTTTTTTGTAGAAAACCTCTCGGGGGTTTTCTTATTATTTTGTTTAGAACTGTAGGCGATTTGTAACAGTTTTTAATGGACATTGTTTGCAAAATAATCTACCATTGTTAATTTTTCTGATTATTGAAAAATCAATTTTCCTTATTTTTATTATAGAGACAATATCTTATCTAGTGAGTACTTGTGCGCCGAAAATGAAATTTGTTTTCGCAGAAAGATAATCCCGGGAGAAATCTAATCACCTCCCTAAAGTATTTGACGATTGGATGAAAGGTGAAGTAATGAATAATTAATAAACAAATCTACAAACCAACAAACCCACATACTCGTAAACTTAGAAACACAGAAACCTACAACCATACTTATATATGGATAGAGAGAGAGAGTGTGAGAGAGAGAGAGATAGAGAGAGAGCGAAGCGAGTGATAACCAAAGCGACAACAATATTATCTCTCAATAAAATGTGTTTTCTAATCTCATAAATATACATTTTGTAAAATACATCAAAGGTTTGACTTTATCGTTAAGACCCTGAATAGAAAATGTAGACTCATATGACATAACATTTAAAAGTCATCAAATGGGCGAAAAGTGGAACATGGGTAGTAAGAAGTGAGTCGTTCAGGAAATGTGTAACAATCTTGGATCATGGATGATTATGACCACACAAATATCTGAACAATTAAAAACTTACAACAAATACAATTCTTCCATTAAAATGAAAACTAAATGTGAGATACTGTACGGCTTTTGTAAGAATTCGGACATGTTATTCCATCTCTCACCGAAGTAGTTAGCGAAACAGTTGCAAATTGAAAACAATATTTTAAAAACACGAATAGATAGTTACACAGTTAACCCTAAAAATGTCGACTCTGTTCAAATGATTGTGAAGATACAAAATAAAGTTTTGTGGAAATATCTATACTGCTTAAAATCACAAACTGCTGGCGCGGGACGAAACAAACTAAGTTTATTTATTTATTTTTTTGCTTTTTTATGATGGAAAATGAAAGTTTTGGTCCAAAATTAACGAAATAATTCACTTTTCAAATTTTACTTCATTACACTTTTCACGAATCTCCTCAATGTGAATCAGATAAAGTAAGTATGTTTCGTATGCGCAAATTATTATAAATTAGCTTGAAAAGTCTATATAATCAAACTAAATTAAGTTAATAGAAGTATGCATGTTCAATAAAATTGTTCAGTTTAGTAAGGCTTCATTTTGAAATTGTTAAAATAGATTTTGTTTAATAATAGGTTACAGAATAGTAACCATTGAATAATATACAAAATTTAAGTTTAATATGATCTATTACAGTAGTAGTATTATAGTGTAACACATATGGTTACCAGCCAAAGGGGGATAAAAATATGAAGTTTTTATTCATTGGGTTGCGGCCCCTGTGGGACCGTAACTGAACTGTTGACGTTTTTTTATGCTTTTGTGAGCGAAATTACCTGTGTTCCATGTCATGTGACATGGGATTGTGGGTAGTTTCATGCCTAGCCGTGTCGCACACGCAAGGCTGCTGTCTGTGGACCAAGATGTAGACCTAATGAAGGTAGTTATATAGATTATGTTTGTTAAAATACTTAGTTGTGTATTCCTGCTAGTGCTGCATGTGCACACTAGTTAGGGTGAGTATTAATATAAGTATTTATTTGAAGTACTACGTATTGGTACTTGTTGGCAGTACTGTGTACTGGCCAAAACATATTTTATTGTTACCCGTGTATTTTGTAGCCTACACATGGTGTTGTCAGGAATGTAACTTTTTTTATTTACATTTGTTTTAGGGCTACAGTTTTTTTCTTTTGGTCTTTTGGATTTTTTCTTCTTGGCTAGTTCGTTTTGTACTACTGTGTTGCATCGCCGTCATGGCTCGATGCTGTAAATAAACGAGTATTTGACAACAACTGTCGGTGTCGGTGTGTACTTAATCTCAGGGTCAGCCCGTCTTAACCACAACACTTCAATGAGTAAAAGCATCCCCACTGAGTGAGGGTTACATTTGGCGCCCAACGTGGGGCTTGACCTTGGGAGGTAGGATGGAAAGCACCAAGCCGATGTTCGAGAAGTTGTCGCAGGAGCTGGCCGAATTGACGGCTAAGATGGCTGATCTACAACAAGCAAGTGCGCAGCGGCCCGTGACGGTGAAGGTGTGTGCTCCAGTACACAGCGATGAGGACGAGTTCACCGACTTTCTACCCACGGTCGGGGTTGCAGGGGAAGCTAGCCCGAAGAAGGAGACCGTCCTGAAAGCTGTTAAAAGGCTGGACGGGACAACTGAGTCCCCAGTCGTAGCCACGGCAACAGCTAATAGGACTATCCAGGTCGACGCAGTAACGGCAGTTGTTCGCCAAGAGACGACGCCGCTGATACTCACGGAGGAACAACTTGACCGTCTGGCGGAGAAGGTGGCAGCAGCTATCCTAGCCCGGAAACAACGGCCTTGCAGAGGAGCTTGTTACGGGTGCGGGTCCAGGAAGCACTTCGTCCGTGACTGTCCGAGGAAAGCAGCTAGGCAACGGAGTCAGCAGCAGGGGAAACGCCAGTCCATCAGCGTCGTGGAGCGGATGCTGATGCGTGTTCTGCCAAGCTCCCAGCCCAAGTTTACGCCACCGAGATCAGCACAGTGTCGAGCAACCACAGCTCAGGTTACCTCGCCTAGCGGCTGGAGGTACGGCTGTCGGGTGTTCCGCCGTGGAGGAGGGTTGCAGCCGGAGGGTGCGCGTGAGGAGGGTAGACAGCCACACCATGAATGTCGGTCTCAGCGCGAGCAAGATCGTCGCTTGGGAGACAGACATGACACAAGCAGAGGTCGGAGACGCCGCCGGAGGAGAGGCCGACGACGTGGTGGACGCCGCCGTGGTTGGCAGCGACCCGACTATACAATGTCGAGTGCTGAACCCACTGTGGCGCAGGGGGAGCGACGGAGAGAGATCATCCCGACCAGGGAGGCAGATGAAGGTGAGGAACTGACAATCAAGGTGGTAGTCCCAGCCAGACTTCGGCCGGAGGCAACGCCTTTCGTGCCAGAGGTGGTCGCCCGGGACGGACAAGACAAGGTGATGGTCAGGCCAGCCCCACATCTGGATGAGGTGAATGCGAGGGACGAGGCATCGGACGAGGATGACTCTTGGATCAACCCAGAACCACCAGTGGAGCTGCGGAGGTCAACCCGTCAACGACGACCCGTCGAGCGACTCAACTTGGCGCATCAAGTGGTGACCAGTACCAGCACTGGAGCCTCTACCGGTTTGCCTGGAATACTCTAATTGAGTTGAAAGGACTTAATGTCTGTGTACTAGTGTACTGAACTTTTTTTAAGTACTATTATGTATGAGTTGTAAATGTAAATGTAAATGTGAATTCCATTGTACATTTATTTGTGAGGGGGGCTGTGTAACACATATGGTTACCAGCCAAAGGGGGATAAAAATATGAAGTTTTTATTCATTGGGTTGCGGCCCCTGTGGGACCGTAACTGAACTGTTGACGTTTTTTTATGCTTTTGTGAGCGAAATTACCTGTGTTCCATGTCATGTGACATGGGATTGTGGGTAGTTTCATGCCTAGCCGTGTCGCACACGCAAGGCTGCTGTCTGTGGACCAAGATGTAGACCTAATGAAGGTAGTTATATAGATTATGTTTGTTAAAATACTTAGTTGTGTATTCCTGCTAGTGCTGCATGTGCACACTAGTTAGGGTGAGTATTAATATAAGTATTTATTTGAAGTACTACGTATTGGTACTTGTTGGCAGTACTGTGTACTGGTCAAAACATATTTTATTGTTACCCGTGTATATTGTAGCCTACACATGGTGTTGTCAGGAATGTAACTTTTTTTATTTACATTTGTTTTAGGGCTACAGTTTTTTTCTTTTGGTCTTTTGGATTTTTTCTTCTTGGCTAGTTCGTTTTGTACTACTGTGTTGCATCGCCGTCATGGCTCGATGCTGTAAATAAACGAGTACTTGACAACAACTGTCGGTGTCGGTGTGTACTTAATCTCAGGGTCAGCCCATCTTAACCACAACACCTCAGTGGGTAAAAGCATCCCCACTAAGTGAGGGTTACATAGTGTTTTTAGCCCTCTTAGTATAAGAATAATAGAAATAACAGAATCGTAAAGAAATTGTAAAGAGCTAAATTTTTTAATGTTTTTAGTTATCTTAATATATTCTTTTGTTTACTCTTAGTCTTATGTAGAGATCTTTTAACACATGAGATACTGGATATTAATTAATAGTCACTAGAGCCAAAA